TACTTTCGCTCCTGATATTTGCAGTCGAACCACTTTTGTCAACTTTACTGTCACACAGAGCAGTCTGCAGACACAGTCACTTAACGATGTACTTAAATCTGAGCGTCCTGATGTTGATGAGCGGCGTTCCAACCTCATCAAGCTTCAGGGAGAGTTCAAGGTCCATCTGCGACAGCTGGAGAAACGACTACTTCAGGCCCTCAACGAGTCTCGTGGCAACATTCTTGATGATGACAACGTCATTGAAACTCTAGAGACTCTCAAGACTGAGGCTGCAGAAATTTCTGGCAAGATGAGCAGCACCGAAGGTGTCATGGCTGAAGTCGAGGAGATTACGCAACAGTACAGTATCGTCGCCCGATCCTGTAGTGCCGTCTTTGCTGTTCTTGAACAACTCCACTATCTCAACCACTTCTACCAATTCTCCCTCCAGTACTTCCTTGACATTTTCCAGTCGGTGCTCCACGGAAACAAAAACTTGGCTGGCCAGACTGACCACAATGTCCGGCGTGATGTTATCGTCAAGGATCTTTTTATCAACACGTTCAAGCGAACCGCTCTGGGTCTGCTCCAGAAGGACCGTGTGACTCTTGGGATGCTCCTCGCACAGGCCTCGCCCTACAAGATGGATAAATCTTTGATTGACATCATCCTCGATAGCCGTGTTGAAGGCAAGGACCTGTCTTCAGATCCCGATGAGAGAGATCCGGCCTTCACCCAGGCTAAGAAGATCGGTGTTCTCAAGGACAAGCTGGACGCCGTCTCTGCTAAGGATTGGGACAAGTTCTTTACCGAGGAGTTAGCCGAGAACGCTGTGCCACAGATCTGGGATGACAAGACCGAGGCCATGGATCGAGCACTCCTGTCTCTTCTGCTCGTGAAGCTTTTCAGGATGGACCGGTTTGTTCCTGTTGCTGAACGTTTCGTCAACGAAGTTTTTGGCTCGGGCATCTTCGATATCGTCGAAGACCTCAAAGAGACAGTTACTCAAGTGTCGGCTACGCTGCCAATCTCTCTGGTGTCGAGCCCCGGTTTCGATGCCAGTTACAAGGTGGATAATTTGGTGGAGAGAATGCGTGTCAAGTGCACAAACATTGCCATGGGTTCCAACGAAGGTCTGGCCAGTGCAGACAAAGCAATCAGCAACGCCGCTCAAACGGGCTCATGGGTCTTGGTCAAGAACGTTCACTTGGCCCCTACCTGGCTACAGAGTCTGGAGAAGCGCATGGGGTCACTCAACCCTCACTCAGACTTCCGTCTGTTCCTGTCCATGGAGTCAAGCCTGAAGATCCCAGTCAACTTACTCCGGGCTTCTCGCGTACTCATGTACGAGCAACCCGCTGGTGTTAGGGCCAACATGAAGGACTCTATGTCTTCCCTGTCCACACGGGCTACTAAGAGCCCTGTCGAGAGAACTCGTCTTTACTTGCTTCTCTCTTTCTTGCATGCAGTGGTGCAAGAAAGATTGCGATACGCACCCAATTTGGGTTGGAGGGGATTCTGGGAGTTTAACGATAGTGATGTGAGTAACCCTGGATTCAAGCACGATCCTATTTGTAGCTAACATATTGCAGTATGAATGTTCTGCTTTCATCGTTGATACTTGGATTGATGGAGTGGCTGGAAACCGGACCAATATTGCTCCCCAGAACATTCCTTGGGAGATGCTCCGCTACATGGTGACTGAGACTTACGGTGGCAAGATCGATGACGAAGGGGACTTTAGACTGCTCTCTCAACTCGTCACGTCGTTCTTGACTCCTGCCGCCTACGAAGTTGACCACAAACTCGTTGATGGGCCTGATGGCGGCCTTGTTGTGCCCTCTGGCACCAATCTACAGGACTTCAATGCTTGGATCCACCGCTTACCCGAGCGCGAGCCGCCTACCTACCTTGGTCTTCCTGCTAATGCCGAGAAACTTCTTCTTGGCGATCTCGGTCGAAGTTTGATTGGGAACGTGCGCAAGGTCACAGAACTACTTGATGAAGGCGAGCAGTTGGTGACGGACGAATAGGATTGGACACCTAATAATGTGTCCAGAGTACATGAGATATGGACTGGATGTTGACGGGAAGCTTTGTATAATTGCTACTCCATTTCTGTCAGACGTGCAGAGAACGCAATATTCCTTTGACTTTTCTATTTGTTTCATTAGATGTGGCATCAAGCATGGCGTGCGGATGAGGAAGCTGCCGGTACTGGAAGATCATTGCTGATTATACCCCTGCGGCATATAGACTGGGTTTGTCTGTCTTGTTCTGTTTGATTGTACTGTCTGCACCATTGAATCAGTTTACTGCGGGTTAAGAATGGAACATGCTATGCATCGTAGATTGAATCTTGAGCCAAGAAGAAACAAAGTCAAGTAAAGAAGTCGATTCTAGAGACTCTAGGCTATACAAGTAGATGACCGTCAATAGTAATCCATTTGAGAGTTAATGTCAAAGTCAGGAAATCCATGCTGGGGAAAGCTGTAAAAGTCCACACCGCCGCCAACACTGGTAGATTGGGTCCCTGCCGGATGTGGCAGCTCAACTCTCAGCATCTTGGAAACATACTTGCGCAGCTCGTCCTGGACAGCAGCTTCGAAAGACCTCTCGGCATCACCCGGGTTGGCCAGCTCGTTCATCCAAGTAAACCTCTTGAGAAAGTCTATCCACAATTGCGACTCGTCGACTTGGAGTAGCTTGTCTGCGCCATCAGCAGCCTGAGTGAGTAGTTCGGTATCAGAGATGATGCGATCAGTTTCAGTTGCAATTGCCTCAGCACGAATCATCCACGACAGTGTAATGAGAAGTTCTGATGGAGGGATCCCAAAGGCTGACTCGCACTGAGTATACCACGTAGGGGCACAATTCGCCCGTACCAAATGCGTCATTACTCCCCAGAGAGTGCAAAAGACACGGATATTGTACCACCAACAACGCATATCAGTACTTGGCTGTACTGGGGCATCTTGTAGAGCCACGGCATGGTTGAGTCGGAGCTGTTCCTTGCACCACCTAAGACAGAGACTTAGGGGGGATGGACAGTCGTTGCGTAGAGCGTTCATAAAAGGCTGTGTCGTGATGAATTCGTTCAGGAGATGCTCAGTCATAAAGTTCGGAGGGTTGGAATCGTCAAAACAATCGTCATATATCTCGAGGGCATAATCGAGGAAGAAGTAGGCTACGAGATCGATAGACGAGTACTTGTGTGAAACCTCTCCAAGTGATCCGTCGCTGCCAACCAGTTGCTCGACATTACGACTGATTTGTTTGACAAATGCCGATTTGTCCGAATCTTCTTGGTGACTTCCCACGTACGCTTTGAGCATCGATAGGACAAATGGAGAGTCTGAAACTCGAGTCGTTGGTGTCCCGGTCCATTCCCTTGCAAGAATCGCCCTGGCGCTACGAGCATTGTCTGGTTTACCAGCGACACGGGCACAACAAATGGCAAGAAACTCACGAGTCTCAGGAACAGACTGGCTATTCGATAAGACCTCGTAGAGACTCGCGTACAAGGCAAATGCGTTTGTGTCATCGAGCATGGCGGCACAAAAGTCAGCAGCCAGTTTGTTCGCTTCCTCGGATGACCCAGTCGCCCACGGATATGGAACGACAACCTTTGCGGCCCTGTGACTGTCCAGCGACTCGTCACACTCGATGATTTCTGATCCGACGGCGGCCATTAGCGTGTCTGGGCCGCAACGGTCAGGCATGGGGTATTGGTTGAAGGAGTGAGCTCCTCGGTCGAACTCGGCCCCAATATCACCATAGTCCATCGAGTCGTTAATGCCACCAGGTGATAGAGAATTATGAGAAGTCTTCTTCTCATTTGCGTTGTACTTTTTTATACCCCATTTCTCGAAACGATAGCCATACTGCCGCTTGCTTTTGGTGAAAGGGTTAGTCAAACATCAAGGGTTTTAGGTATTGTACTTGATAGGTGACATACCTTTGAACAATACCGTACTTCTTCTCCATGACATTCATGACGACACTCAGGGTGTATTTCTTGTAAAGATTGCATAGAAAAGGCTTAAACCTTTCCCAAGTCTCGTCGTTCATGCGCGTTGTAGGTTTGGGTAGCCTCTCGTCAGTCCCCCGTGAGAATGATCGTTCTCTAAACTCCATGGTTCTTGCTCCGTCTTTTGCGAGTCGCGCATAGGTAAGTCAAGAGATTGTTGAGTGCTGAGTGAAATTGGGAATCGCCCGCAAATGGCGACCGGGCTGTTCGTCGCCTTTAAGCACAGCATGTTGCACTTTTCCTGGCTCTTGGCAGTATGTGACTGTAATTCTAGATTGCCTTGGGGAGCGCCTCATTTATAAAGGACGTAGAATGCTGGTGCTTCGCGTATCATTTTCAGGCTCAAGTGGGTGAGTTGATTGTATGTAATTTGCTCGGATTGTAATTTCAGCAACACAATATGCCTGTCTGATTGGCCATGGTTATGGCTGTGCATGCGTTAAGCTGGCGAACCAACTTTGGCGGATGATCTCGGGGGCTTTTCTCAACAAGCAAGGCCCATATGACAAGCATACTGCAGCACAGCCTCGACTAGGCTAGGCCTCCTTCTCTTTCTCTTTCTCTCTTATCGAAGGAAGATGGAAATTCCAAACCTCACACGTGAGGTGATGTGCTAAGATGTGCTGTAGCCCAACGGCACCCAACTCGGCACCCAATACCCAACAGCCACTTTTTGAGGCCTGCCCTGGCATATTAGAACGGAATCGAATACGTGGTTCTTAATTCTGACCTGTAGTTGGTCAATATTGGCGTGATATGGCCCCAATCTGGTCATCATGTTGCAAAATGCGCGTGAGCTTTGGGCGAGCGCTCATTTGCATGAACTGCCGACTTTTGTCGACATGACAATCCCGAAGCCCGCAACCCTTTAAGACTTTTTGAGTGCCCTCCCAATCTCAAAACTGATCAACGCTTCGTCTTCAGCTGTGTCGCCAGCTGTGTTGATACTATGCAAACAATGTCAGCAACATACCATCACAAACCCATCATGACGGACGATTTTTATAATTCGTGGGTGGAACCTAGCAAATACCCACGAATACCCAACGTCTACGAACCAATTCAAGATACCCAGGTTTCTGGCCAATGTGGTACTCGAGAGAAGAAAGAGTCTGCCTGGGTTCACCAGGATTCTCGGGATAGCCATCAATCGGCTTGGACTACCAACCGCAAACCTCTGAATAGCGAGGAATCGCATCAGTGGCTCGTCAACGACAGGACGAATTATTCTGTGGTTGTGCAACTAGGGAGCAGCTACAGGAGCGAGAACCAAATCCTAGGAGATGACTTCAAAGACGCATCGAGGGACTGGCACTCGCCATCCCATCACCCAGATTCAATTGAGAAGAGACGCGCAAGGCGGGAAGCGAGCTTTGAGAGGTGGAAAGATGCTGGGGATAGAGTATTTTGTCACTCGGCGAGATTTGGTCATGATTTCAATCAGTTGAAGGCTTGAACTACCGTGAAGAAGTCTGGCTGATAAACTGTTATGACGACTCGGTGGTTTAGTAGATTCTTTAATGTTGATGCGAACGCAGAAGATGGTTTGATATACAGTACTGGTCTTGTCTCACATTGACCAAGTTTTGTGGTCCAATTCTGGATCACTTTACCAGGCTGTAAAGCTCATGCGTCGCAGGGACATCGTTGCTAAGAATACCACAAAGCTGCCCTTTGCAGTGATGGGCATGTCTAGCGTGTCTGGAACAACAGTTTGACCTGTGCTGGAGTATTTCTTCCTTGACCATCATGAGTACTGAAATGTATCATCTTGGTCACCAGGATAATTGAGGATTCGATGCGGGTTCCCTCAACAATCATAGCGACGTACCGCCCACACTTGAGGGTGCAAACACGGGTTGCAAGCTGTAGCTGATGCTCGATTCGATTGGCGATGAGGGTGGTGCACTGAAACACGATTTGATACGTGCCGTGAGACTTGCATTGGAACAATGCAGGATGCAGGAGTGTTGCTACTCCCTCGTCCAAATGGATGGACCACTAAAACAGAAGCAAATCAGAATGAACAGTTCTTATTTGAGCAAGAAGAATACAACGACTGATATCGTGGAAGCAAGGGAAATGATAGTACTAGTAGAGTTGGTCTTAATGGAAAGATAATATTCATAAGAACCCAATATCTCGAGCTGTTAACTCGGGTAATAGGTACCTGGTACCCTAGGTACTACCTATGCGGTCACTTCTAGGTAATCCATTGAAAGAAAGAAGGTACCTAAGTCGCTCCGTTCCTGTCGGTGGGAAGAATCTCGATGAGCAAGGGTAAGTGTAACACGAAATAATGTAAGGTAAGTCTCACTTACGACCTACAGTACTGACTTCAGCGGCTGTACCTACCACAATATTATATCACGGCGATAATTGCAGTAATCGAGTTTTCTATGTATGCTAACCCCCCGAGGGTAGAAGATAATCGCGACAAGTTCCAGGTTGGTAGCGGGTTAAAACAGAACATTGTCCCGCTGTGAGCCGCTCGTTTAGCAGTAGGAGCTTGGAGCAACCTAAGTTGTCGTCATCTGAGCGGATCATTCTTGGCCAGCCAGTCATTGGCTGGATGCACGTCTGTCATCCTTGCACTTTCCAAATGCAGGTCTGTGCAGAGAACTACCTCGGAAATCTTCCCTTGTTTTCGGGGATAAAGATCCACTCGATTACCTGAGGTAAGGTTGTGTTGTTCTGTAACTTGTATTTGTTCCAAGTCTTCCACGTTTGAGCAAAGTACCTACCTAAGCAACCTTTATTAGGTATAGAGTTATAGCTTACCTACATCAGAATTACGGCATTCACATGAAAACAGAAATGTACGTCAGCTCATAGAAATGCCGGGACAAAGCCTGCCTCGTACAGGTAGACACAGATATTTACCTTGGCAGTTGCAGTGTGTACCTCATCTGGCACCACTGTCATTCCCCATTGCTACCACACCCATGGAGTCCACAATCGTAATGGTCGTCAGTCTCAGCGCCTCAAAACCAATGGCAGCCCGACCTCTATTAAATTCCCGGCACTTTTCGTAGTTGATCCGTGGTTTAGCGCGCTTGAAACGAGGTCATATGGTCTAACAGGGCACCATAAGAGAAGCACCGCCTGTGCAAGACCAGATCCAATATAGCCTGAGAGGCTGTGAAGAGGCAAGTCATGCGCCGCTGCTGTTGATCTGATCTTTTGACATACGTAGCCTTCACTGGCTTTGAGCGCGCACCTTGCTGTGGTCGTTCAAAGTTCTTGCCCGGGAGGCTTACTGGTTATTTCTCGCCTTTCCTGGTACAAGATGGCACCCTTACCTACCGACCTATGAGTAGAAACAAGGCACGTCGATGGAAGTCTTGTTAGCTTAAATCGTTTGGTGTCATTTGTGGTGCGACGATCCCAGAGTGTGGCTGTTTGCTCCTCACCTCTCTGACTTAGGTACCTTTTAAGACAACCTACCTACTAGTAGGTACTAACCTTACCTGTCTACCTACCCTTGCTACCCAGGCCTGCTTCCCCGCATGCCTACATTCACTAACGTACCTTGAGAGGAGTGAACCACACCTCCTGTGCAGTAGCAGAAGCTCATTGTGTAAATAATTCTAGGTGTTTAAATACTTCTTCTCCCCTCCACCCTCTCCATATTCTCCCCTAATCACTTCTTCGACACCACACACAACTTTGTCTCAACGGTGAACTTTCTTTTCTTCCCATCGACTGCAACCTTGAGCCGAGCTCAGCTCTACAGCCCTTCATCATGGCAAACTGGCAACAGTGTAGGCTACCTTGTCGTCTTCCGCTTCTAATCCATTCCGACTGACCCATTCCATAGACAATCCCTTTGGTAAGAGGGAATCCCACTCTAGTAGTGCGATCCTCACCTACAAGATTCTTACTCTCGTCACCTGGATCTTGTCCCTCGTCGTCACTGTCTACTACACCCTCAACCGTCCCGATGATGGGCACACAAGAAATAGAAAGATCTGGGAGCAGAACCACATGTATCGCACTGCCTTTACGCTGAACCCAATCATCACATCCATTTACTGGTGAGTATCCCTCAGCCCCTCGCGCGCGCGCTCGCATACTGAGAGCTTGTCAAGGGTTGTTCTCTTCATACTCCAGGCTGGTTACATTGGTCACCTATTCTCGAGCAACTCGGACATTGTCCACGCTGCTGCCAGCGTTGGAAGCCACTTCATCTTCAACAACCTCTTCCACTTCGCTTTTGTCATGCTGTTTGTCCGCTCTCACTTCCACTGGGCTGAAGTCATCCTCGTTCTCAACTTCATCAACCTGTCCTCGCTCTACTTCCGCCACAACACATATCCCCGATTCATTCATACGCCTGTAGTATCTGGACCTTTGGCTTGGACCTTTGTCGCCATTTACTGGAATGGTGCTCTCATGGTTCCCCATCCCGACCACCTTGTTGCTCGCATCTTTGGGAATATCTTTATCTGGTCTATTCTTGTCTATGGGCTCTTCTTTATCATCATCTATAAGGTTTGTTCGATCGCTCCGGTCAACCCGTGTAGCTTGCTGACAGTATGTAGGACTACACCATGGGCTTCTCACTGAGCGTCTTTGCTGCTGCAATTGGAGTTTCCCAGTTCCTTCACCAAGTGATTGCCTTCCAGTGGATCTTTGCCTTTGTCATAATGGCTCTTCTTTTCATCGCCACGGTCGTTGTCGCTGTTCCTGCTGCGACTGGCCGCGAGATCAACTGGCGCAGTGCCCCTGCTGATCAGGAGCGTGCCCCTCTCCTCGCAGAGAACTGAAACTAGGTACCAAGCCGTGGAGAGAAACATTCCCCCGGGGGGGCGGGGGGCGGTGCTTTTCTCTGCTTGTCCAACCACTATTCCCCAAACATTGCGGCGCTATTTCTGCAACTCAAGTCGCCTGCGGTCACTGTTTGTATTTCTTAGCCGGCCAGCTGCATGCATGATTCGATAAGCGGTGTGGAATGTGGAGTAACGAAATAATATGACGTTGAGGATTCAGTGAGAACCGTCAAACCTGCAACATGCCCTCATGGAGCAAGAAAACACGGGACCTTAATATGGGCTGAAAATAAACTAAGCAAAGGATAACCTAAACTTAGTAAAGGTACCCTAAACTCAGGCAGTAAAGATATCCTAAATTTATGCAAATTTACCTGAGTCTTTTTGTCATTTAGGATTGCGGTCTTGAGTTTTCTTTCCTTCCCTAGGCATGCGCACGTTAAACTTGGGTAGTAATTGGAGCCAGCCTTTTGACAGCTTGATGTCACTGACGTAGTGGTGGAGCTTAATCGATAAGTTGCCGACGCTAGCGGCTCATTACCGAAACTTCACATCCTTAGGTCGGCGACCACCGAACATCAACACCTTGCCATGAAGCCTTTGCGGCCTTTTCCTTTCCCTTTGAATATCGGGACCGACATTTGCCAAATATCCCGTATCTATCATATACTGTCAGGTCCGCAGGCTCTACGCCTTGTAAACAAAGTCTTAGCCCCTGAAGAGCTAGCAAAGAAAGATGCACGGTTAAATGTACTCGACCAGGCGGCAGCGCGCAGGGTTCTATCACGACGTGCCACAAGCAAAGCCAGTGAAAGCCTCCAGCCGCACGAACGCATCGCATCAAAGGATCCTGAGCTGTGGAAATGTGCTGCCTTCATAGCAGGAAGGTACGGGGTTCTCCGGTCCATCTATCATTGGTAATCACTGACTAGAATGGTATTTAGATTTGCTGTAAAGGAGGCTGCCATTAAAGCACACCCACACCGTCATTTGACGTTTCACGATATCATGATTGAGCGACGGCTTGTGAAGGGCGAGGTATTGGGTAGTGGCCCGCCAATTGCGCGTATACGGGGCGCCGAAGGAGAAGCAGAAGATACCACTGCAATGGTGTCTATAAGCCACGATGGAGATTATGCAACAGCTGTGTGCTTGGGTTTTGAGCCATGTAATAAGAATAAAAGACGTAGAGACTTATAGGCTTATAGGCTTAATATATACTATATATATATATATATAATTTATTAAGGTATATCTATCTATTATAAAAATAATAATACTAAAAAGATATTAATTAACACTCTAACTATATAGTTTAATACTCTCTCTCTTTTCTTTTAAGCAAAAAAGTCACCTCCTCACATAATTAACTACAACCACAAAAAGAAATCGCAAATCGGTATACCAGGGACTCGAACCCTGAGCCTTAGTCTTAGGAGGACTACGCGCTACCATTGCGCCAGCACACCGGAGCAGTTTTTCCGATTCCGGAATGATCGGATATGGTTGGAGTAATGTTATCATGGCTTATATCCTTGGGGGCTTGGAGTGAATTCGGGGCAAGACGGCTGGCAGTTTGAATACGAAAAAGGCATGTATTGTATTGGTCCTTGGGTTCGCCATTTGGGTTTACGAGTTGGATGTTTTGCTTTACGGCTGCTTTTAGTGGTGGCCGTATCTATGTCGCTGTCCACATGGTTCTGTACGTACTCATCTGCTGGCAGCTCATGTCTGGCGGCAGAAGAACAGAACAAGGCATTTGTTTTAGTAATGCTTGTATGGCGATTCAATTGCCTTTGCATTTTTATCATGCTTGTCAACTTCAACTACTAGACGTTGGTTCGCTGTGTTAAAAATATAACTACGCTGATTCCCAACATGTCTGATATTGGGCCAAGAATGTATCTTTCACGCTGCACAACCGTGATTCGATGTATCGAGCAATCAGGCTGAGTTTCTGGCCGCCATTGTTTTATAAGCATCAGGTTGATCATCTCCTCTTTGTCTGCCACAACCGAGACGGGCTTGAAATCAGGGCCAACAATTTGTCGACGGACCTGGAGATGACCCGGCCATAACATTCACAGGATGCAGTACCACCGCAGCACACCACCACAGCTCTGCCTCACCTCTCACCTACAGTATTCACCATGCCTCGGGGGGGGGGAAATAGATGAGACTGGCTTACACCAAAATCCACCGATCTACCACCAAATCCAGTCTCGTTTAAATTCCCCCCCCACCCCTAGCCATGGCAATGAGGAAACAGAGGGGGCAAGATAACCGAAACCGGTCAGCAGCGTGGTGAGGCGGTCAAAGTTAGGCTTTGAAGGCCATTTGGATGCCTGTTCGTCCTCCCCAATAACTGTCGTTACTTCATGGGGTGCCCCTGCTTTCAGCTAAAGGCGTTAAACCCCCACGGGCCGGGCGGCTGGCGAGAGCGGCGTTCAGGTCCGTTGCCCACTGGAAACGTCGGAGGTTCACCCGCCAAAGCAGCTAACGTCCAGTTGGTCCAGTTGTGCCTGCATCCCTGATTCCGCCCCCGATGCCGATTTTCGGGCGTCCACACGCCATCATGGGGCGCTCCACTTGCGCACACTCCCCACAACCATCCATTCATTGTTGTTCATGACTTCCTACTTGGATTGATAACGTGCTTGCTACCTACCCAGCCAAACCTTGATTCTTTCACTAAACATCGTCTTTTGTTTGTATATTCGTGATAATGAGTCGGGGATCAATGTTTACTTAAGCATCAATCTTTGCTTCTTGCTTTTACTCTGCCATTCTCTGTTCTGTCTTGTTCTTCCTTCATAGGATTCTTCATGTCTGCATCAGCATGATGGATGTCGTAATTCACCGCTTCGGCGGACTAGAGTTCTCTCCCTATCAAGGGAATGAATCTATCATGATACCTCAATCCTGTTCTTTGACTAGGTAAGACCTGTCTCAATATGAGATAAATCAAAGTTTACTAAGAATTCTAGCTCATATCAGAATGCCATGTCCATCTCCCAGATTTCGTGGATCCATCATGTGTCACAGTTTGCTCAATCTGGGGTACCACAAGCCGTTGTGCTTTTCCTGTCACTCATGCAACTCATCTACCACTTAGACCGAATTCGTCGGCAAGGATCTAGTTGCCGATCTAAAGCTGCCAAAATCCGGTGGCCCTATGAGCTTGCCTCACAAATCGCAAGACTTACTGCTGTTGTATATATTACAATTGCTTTCATCCAAGATCGACTACATTGGATCAACATCGTATCTGTTGTATTTACCTTCACTCTTGGTCTCACTCGTCTCTTCAACCATCTTGAGTGGCGCCATGTAGCACTGCATCAAATCAACTTTGTCCTTCTGGCTACTCTGACCATTCTCATTGCAGGGCACACTTTGCCCTGTATCCAGACTGGCACAAGATGCCTTCACGACGCCAGTACTTCCAGTGGGATCATCGCTCTTGCGGCAGGGGCTGTCATTGCAGCCATTACTCCCAGAGAATGGATACCAATTCAAGTTGACCTCAGTATCCCTGGTTACGACCAGAATGAGCCAGCTCCCGAGGAGACTTGCAGTTGGTTCACTTACTACTGTACCTATGACTGGCTGACCCCAATTATCTGGAAGGGTATGAAGCGGAAACTTGATATGGCTGATATTCCAAAGTTAGCCTGGTATGACGAGCCTATATACCTCTTACGACGTGTACAAGAAGCTCGTTCAATCTCGAAAAAGACACTCCGTACTGTTCTTAGATTCCAGAAGCGCGAGTTACTTCTCATGTCATTTTGGGTTGCCACGTCATACACGGTCGAAAATATAGCCGCATTCGCCATGTTTAAGTTACTCGAATATCTTGCTGATCCTAACGGTGCCATCTATAAACCGTGGCTTTGGCTGTTCCTCATGTTCATCGGCCCACTATCCCGCTCCGTTGCCTTCCAGCAGTACATCTTTACATCTACTAGACTCGTGGTTCGTATCAAATCTGCATTCACTCAAGAGCTGTACTACACTGCCCTGGATTCGATGGAGATGGAAGAGGATCCTTTTGAACTACAGTCCGGTGGTGCGAAAATCAAGAGCATGAGCGGCCAGGCCGCTGCCAAGACCACATCAGCAGGACGTTTGGCTAACCTCATGGCTTCCGATATAGACGCAATCTATAGATCAAGAGACATCATCCAGGCCACCATTGGTACCCCCGTCGGGACCATAATATCACTCATTGGAATGTACAGAATGATGGGCTGGGCATCTCTGGTAGGAAATGCGATCCTTTTTTTGGCCACACCTCTTTCGATATGGCTTGGGCGCTTAATGTTCTACTCGCAGCGCCGAGTCAGGAAAGCCCAGGATTCTCGCATGTCCTTAGTGACAGAGTATCTTGCGTCCCTTCGCGCCATCAAGTACTTTGCCTGGGAGGACCCTATCACTGAAAAGATCATCAATGCACGTTCCGAAGAACAAAGGGAGCTTTGGAGGACTTCAATGATCCAAGCTTCATTGAACCAAGTTATGCAGATTGTTCCTTACTTATCCTTACTTGTTATGTTTGGCTTGCACGTGGGTCTCTCCAAGCGTCGACTTGACGCCGCAACGGCTTTCACGACCATCTTTCTTGTCAAGAATGTTCGCAGAAATATCATGCAGGCTAGTGCCTTTGGCAGGAATTTCGCGAGTGCGTTGGTGTCGGTGACCCGACTCGACAAGTACTTTGAGAGTACGGTTCCTATTCCTCATTACCCCGTTGGCCCCCTTCGCATTGATCATGCCACGTTCCGGAAGACGAAGACAGCCAGTTTCACCCTAAACAACATAACGCTTGATTTTGCCCAAGGCGGTCTTAATGTCGTCAGTGGCCCGAGTGGCAGCGGCAAAACAACTCTGCTGTTGTCTATTCTTGGTGAGACCTACCTTGAGGGTGGAAATGTGACCAGACCAGACGATATAGCGTACGCTTCTCAATCTTCATGGTTGCAGAACGAGACCATACAGGCCAATATTATATTTGGCAGTCCAATGGAAAAGCCACGCTACGATCGCGTCATCGAAGCATGTTGCCTATGGGAGGATTTTAAGGATCTACCGGCTAAGGATATGACCATCGTGGGAGAGAACGGGACTTCTCTTTCAGGTGGCCAAAAAGCACGAGTTGCTCTTGCAAGGGCATTGTACTGCAAAGCACCACTTCTGTTACTCGATGATATATTTGCAGCTCTGGACGCTAAAACAGCTGCTGGTGTTTGGAAACACTGCTTCTGCTCTGACCTCCTTAGTGGGAGGACAACTGTACTTGTGACAAATCTTCCCTGGATTGCAGAACAAGCCGATCTCTCTGTCGTGTTGGAGAAGGGTCAAATTGAGTCGTCTGAGCCCCAAGTTGGTATTGTCCGCAAACCAATCGCTATCGCTCAGGTCCTTGGAGGAGATGCTGAGGAGGATGACGTACTTCATGATACAGTCCAGGAGATACAACCAAATGGTGATACTTTGAACGACGCTAACCGAGCCCCTGAAGAAAAATACCTGAAGGATGTCGTCAATCAGGAAATGAAAGCTTCTGGAAAGGTCGGCCGTATGACTTGTCAGTACTACTACCTTCCCAGTCGTGAAGGGATGCTAACTTGGTCGCCAGTCTTGCAATACATGAGCTACTTTGGACATCCGGTCTTTGTTGCTGTCTGCCTGGGACTTCTACTTGCCACGAACATCTTTACCTTTAGCAGTCTTTTGTGGCTCTCTGTCTGGGTAGAAGCATACAATCACCAGGCTCACATTGATATTCCTTATTATATGGGGATCTTTGCAGGCCTTACATTCCTTGAGATCGGTAGCTACTGTTTGGCTATCATAATGTTCGAATGGGGAGCTTGGAACGCTGCAAAGAGATTACACAACGATTTCATACATGCCATCATGCACGTCTCCCTTTCATGGTTCAAGCATATCCCCATTGGCCGCATCACAAACCGCTTCTCCAGTGATATGGCGTCACTCGACGGTACAATCAGTACCATGCTACGGATCATGCTTGATACGGTCCTTCTCATGCTCTTTCGCATTGGAGCTGTCAGCAGCATAATGCCGGTTTTTATGATACCAGCACTATTTACGTGCTTGTTTGGTGTTCTCATAGGAGAAGCATACACCAGAACCGCCGTTGTAATCAAGCGACTAACGTCTTCTGCTCAGTCGCCTGTGTTCTCCCAGTTTGCAGATACGTTGGCTGGTCTTCCTGTTATTCGTGCCAGGAGTGGTATGTCGTCAAGATTTCGAGAAGAGTTGGCTGCCAGGCTGCGTACATGGTCAGCTTCAGCCGAAGCCAGCTTCAATGCTAACCGTTGGGTTGCTGTACGCGTGGATCTTGTGACGGCCCTCGTCGGTCTGTCAGCAGGTATAATTGCCGTATCACAGACAGGTGTCGTGGCTGCAGGGTTGGTCGGATTCTCCCTCACCAATGCCAATGGACTCAGCCAGACGATCCTGTTACTTGTTCGAGCGATGAATGATTTGGAAGTTGAAATGCAGAGCGTGAGTGTGTTTGTTATCATCTGTCAAAGTGTCTGCTAACCAAGTATCGAGTTTCACCGAGTCAGGGAGTACGTCAAGTTGGAACCCGAGGAAAAGGACGACAAGACGTATCCCGAGGAAGGTGAATACACAGATGATCCCTGCCACGTGATCCCCCAGAACTGGCCTCGATCTGGCGAGATCGAGTTTCGAAACGTTACAATCCGGTACGATCCTGATGGATCCGACATTCTCACCGGGATAAACCTCAAGTTCAGAGCGGGTGAACGTGTGGCTGTCATAGGAAGGACAGGTTCAGGGAAAAGCACTGTCAGTATACTACACTCTTTTACAGCACCTATCGGGTTATACTGACAACTGGGATTTCTAGCTGGTGCTTTCCCTCCTTCGCTTCACACATGTTGTATCTGGTGAAATTTTATACGATGGAATTGACATTACCAAAATTCCTCGGCATCGCCTCCGAGAAAGCCTTACAATCATACCACAAGAGGCTGTCCTATTCAACGGGACGGTGGAGTCCAACCTTGATCCTAGCGGTCGAGTTTCCAAAGACATTCTCGACAAGGCCCTGGACAACTGCAAAGGCATCGCATCCTTCTCCCCTCATACTTCTGACGACAGCGATAATGATACACAATTTCACGACGACGAGAACAATAGTGTAAATCTTTCGACATGTGTCGACGCTCGCGGTGAGAACTTCTCTCATGGTCAGCGACAAGTTCTTTCACTCTGCCGTGCGCTGATTCGCCAGAGCAAGCTGATGTTGCTTGACGAAGCCACGGCAAGCATGGATTATGATACAGACCGAGGTATTCAAAACGTCCTGCGGCGGGAACTCGAAGCGGTCGGTGGAGGGCGGACTTTGGTAACAATCGCGCATCGTCTACGTACAATCATTGATTATGATACAGTCGTGGTTATGAGTGGGGGGCGTGTTCTTGAGTAAGATCTCATTGACTATGGTCCTTTATAGACTTCCAGCTGACAATCCTCTCCAGGTATGGCTCACCTTGCGATTTGTATAACAGTAGAGGTCAGTTCTACGACATGGTCTACCATAGCGGCGAAATGGAGGACCTGCAGGCTTTGCTAGAGACGGAGAGTTCCCAACAGGACATTTAAAGGAGGAGCATTTTGTCTGGGATAGGTATGTCTGGATACTCAAGATGAACACGTCAGGGCATGGATGAGTTCAAAAGTGGGAAATATCTTACATCCGCCTGGGACATCTGTACATCATCCTTATGGCTTATCCATAGACGGGTGTGTCGACAAGATTAAGGCAGACTTTTCCAAATAAATATTCCATTCACAAGCTCTATAATTTCCTCAGACAGCCGGCAGCCAGCTAAATGAGCAGAAGAATCATTTGTAACCTAAAAGTCCTGTGCGTCGTGTATTTTCATGCCCCCGCTGCATCCTTGCTTGAACAGATACCAAATAGAAAAGCAGGCGTGATTGGAAAAGCGAGAGCTAGACGGCAATAAACAGGTGAAAATAAAACGAAGTTGCCCATTGTCAAAGGCGATCGAACATCTTCCTCATGAAGGATCCTGTTGCTTAATTCCAAAATCAAAACCTAAGCCAAGTCTTTCCCTGTCTCCCCAACGCCATACGTGCGTTCGTATATTTTGCATGTACATGCCTGTTTCTTGCGATGAACATATCATCGGCTCGTCTCCTTTCACGTCTTGTCGCGTCTTCCTGCATCTTCTTTTCATACGGGCACGGGATAGTGTGATTGTGGTAAGATATATGGATCATGGGCGTATGCGTTGGATTTCGTGGTATCATCGACACTGTGACGTGGTCTGCTTCTTCCTCATGTTCGTTATGCACTGGTAGCATCCCCCTCCGTTATTAACCACATCCCCATTTATTGTCCGTTGAATGGCTCCTCCATGTTGGTAACTCCAGCTTCCACGTTATGATAATCGAGAATTTCCGAGTACCTGTTCTATATTAGTATATTCGATACATGCAATCTGGCAACACACTAACATCATGATCTTCCATGTATCAACGGGCAGATCGGCGTCGTTGAAGCTCCAGTCAAACTTCTCCTCCGCCACAGGCTCGTCTGTGGGATCGTGGTAGGGAGAGAGATAGTCGTGAGAGAGGGCCTCTGTGGCAGTTATTCGCTTCTTAGGGTCGAAGACAAGCATGCGCTCCAGCAGATCAATAGCTAGTAATGTGTCAATCAGTGATCTCTCAGGGTCAAATGGAGGAATTATTTCGTACCCGAATCGTCGGCATTCTTGAACTTATTACGAAGAGGCTGTCGCTCGCGTTTGGGCAGCGACTTCACGAACCGCAGTGTCTGGAAGTCGTTAGAATTGTGGACAGAATGCAAGGCATTGTCACTCACGTTCTCGCTGGCGATAGTGTTGATAACATCATCAGGAGGGGTACCAAGTAGCTCAGTGATGATAGAGAATTGGTTGACGTGATCTTTTCCGGGGAACAAAGGTTTGCCTTCAAGCATCTCAGCAAAGATGCAACCAGCACTCCAAATATCAACCTCGACGTCGTATTTTTGCCAGGTGAGCATGATTTCGGGGGCTCGGTAGTATCGTGTGGAGACATAACCAGTCATCTGAGGGTCCTGGATTCGTGCAAGACCAAAGTCGCAAATCTTGAGATCACAGTTTTCGTTGACGAGGATATTGCTGGGTTTGAGATCGCGGTGGACAACGCCGGCCGAATGCACGTACTTCAGACCTCGCTACAACGCAACCCATGTCAGCAAATGATCTGTAGCAGCCATTTTTGTCTAGACTGTCATTGATACATACCATAATCTGGTAGAGGAAGTACTGGATGAACTGCTTCTCAAGAGGGCGCGATGTCAATAATCGGTGAAGATCGGTGCCGAGGAGCTCTGTGACAAAATAGCTATAGAGCTGTCAGCGCAAGAACGTGGGGAACGAGGCGGGGGAGGGGTAACGCAGGTCGCGGCTGGGAACGCACATATCTTCCAGAGGAGAAATAAAGATGTCGCTGAGAGAAATGACCTGGCAGCAAAATTGGATTAGCATCGAAAGTCTTGCAATTGCTCATAGGACCATTGAGGACAGGTCAAGCAAAAAGAGACGCGTTGAATGCGAAGATACACGGAGGTATTGAGCTGTGCGGGGGCTGATGCTCACATTTTCGTGCTTGAGGTGCTTGAGCAGCTTGAGTTCACGGTATGTGCGCTTTGCGAGCACAGGTGTGCTGAAAGGCTTCATGATCTTCTTGACTGCGACATTTTGGTTGGTAAGTTGATCCCGGGCAGAGCTGTTGCAAAGGGAACCGTGTCAGTCGGATGCGCAGGATCAGTAGGGACATCTAAGGGAGCATACCAAACGAGGCCAAAAGCTCCCATGCCAACAGGCTGGAGATCGGAGTATCTGCGCGCAAATCGAGTCAGTGATGCGATGGTTATCAGCTTCAAATGTATGGTGAGCTTACCTGGAGGTGATCTCGAATGTGGTGCCAAAGATTTGGGCGCGTACGAACTCGGCCATGGTGAATATGTGATTTTTTGGACGATAGGTTTGAGGGTGAAGAGAAAAAGTAGTCAGTTTCCTGGCTGTAAAACGAGGAACACCAAGATGAGGTAAAGATGATGGCGGGCGGGGCGCAGACGTAATCGTCTAAGATCGTACGGAGTAGTCAAAGCTATATGTTGGGCCTGGCGTGCGGTGCGGTGCGGTGCGAGATAAAGTGAAGAACAGAGAGGTAATCTCGTTATTGGACTGGATTGGATGGGCGGCTGGATATGGAAATGGGATGGACCGATGATGGGTCAGGTGAATGGTGAATCGACGATCGAGCAAAAGACGATGACCGTGACCGGGGTACCAGTAAAAAAAAGCGATGCAGGTTTCGATGTCGATGAGCAAAGCGTCTCAAGCGGGGGCGGGAAGAGACGCGCGAGTTCCCACTGGATAAAACAGCAATGAACGTGTTTGATTGACTGATTGCTAGATCACTCAATGGGCTTTGTAACGCAGTGGTTGACTGATCGTCGTTGTTTTGTCTTGGACCGTCTTTTCCACTGACGGTGGTATTCAGTGCCCGTTGACAGGTACGGAATGGCGGGGTAGGTAAATAAATGCGTAGGTAGGCAAGAGCAACGTGTCTGTCTATCAATGATTGCGAGGTCAGCAACAGTCCATTAAAATGGCGAGAAGATTGCCAGTTAATGAGTGTAGATGGATTGCCACCTGAAAGAGCCAGTATTCGGCGCTTCACAGTGACACAAGTAGGTCAGTTGGAGACGCTCCGTATGCCGGGCTGCTGTCCTGTGAGTACTGTAGGTACCTCAGTGAGGGGCAAGCTGCACCAGCCCAGGCGCTGGAGACCGGCAGTGACACTGAGATTGTTCGGGGCATAGATCAGACCAACAGCAGCGGTGGCAGCCTCAGAATTGGTACCCAGGTTGGTATCAGTTGCGTTGTCCTGCTAAGACAGCACAAGCGTATGACACCGCCTGTAGGCAGTCTCCAGCTCTTCTCCCCCCAGTCCGTTCCAAGACTGCAGCAGTGGGGTCCAAATGCTTTGAGCTCCATAAAGAGGTGCCCTTGACGCCATGATGCCCCAATGATCGGACAGTTTGCCCTGAGTACTTCAGAGCCATTGTCTGGTGCCAACAAGGAAGTAGGATCCAACCGCTGGGAGGAAATCTGGGGTATTGGCAATTTGCTCGACAAGAGGCTTACCTATTCTTTGCAGGTCCAGGCGTCGTCGATTAGGAGGCTCGTTTCGAGTGCGGGTGTCTTCCTACTGGACCGGTCGAATGTCGATCACTGCAGAGGTTACTATAAGATGTGTCGTAGGCTGCGTGAAGGTGGCAGCAGTTCTAGATAAAATGAGAAGAGCTGAGAGGGAGAAATTTCGAAAGTCGAAGGTCCAAGGGGGGAGGAGAAAACGAAATTTCAACAAGAAGAAGAGGTTAGCATCTGGGATGGAGGGTACATGTACATATATACATGGTCGTAGAAGGCATTGGGTCGACCGAGGTGAGAGTGAGGTGTTGGTATTGGATTATGTGGACGGAGGACCGCCGGTAGGTTTCTTGGTGGGGGGTGGGTGAGGGGCGCTACCTACGGGGACAAGAGCTCCGGGGAGTAGTACCCTGGAAAGTAGGTACTCGCCAAACTAAGGAAGTCGAGAGGCTTGATTAAGATGCCTATACCTTCCTTCCATAGGCAGATCAAGGAGCTATTCCTTGTCACCGTCTATTTGGTTTGCATCTGTGTGCTCCGATTTAGTGATTCCCCTTATTCAGACCCTTGCGACACGTAACGGGATCGAGATCTCTCTTGTTGTAGTGGATATCGTGGATATCAAGGTTATGCGCTTACATGGTCACATACCTACCTACGTACCTACCTGCCTACGAACAGGACATGGAGTTTTTTTATGGAAAAGTTGAAAATTTGATGTATGACATGATGACACTTTGAGCCCTTTAGAATCGATAGTCAGGGTCCTTGTGAATTTTGCAATCATGCATGACTCTCGCCTGTGGTTGTTTTTACCTACCTATCTAAGTGCAGCCAGGCAAGAGAGTGTTGATTATGATTCTATGCAGCCATGAGTTGCTGGGATTTTATTACTGGTTTGGCGGCATACGATGCACGATGTGATATAGATCGAATATTTTCTTGATTTTTAAACATTGGGTGCTACGATAGATACTTACTGCTGAGCCCGTCTATGGGCATCCAATCCATTATCAAACTGACCCTGCCAAGTCTGCCCTGTATCTGCACCTGCAACAACATCCCATCATGGCATCACCAAACTCAGCCATGTGCAAGGTAGGTACCCAGATAAGAATTACCCATCATGTAAATATTACCACTTCAGCTCATCATCATTGTCTAAACTCTTCCCCTCATTTTCTCTCTTTCCCCTTGTCTCTTGCATATCATGTCCTGCATCAGAAACTTTTTAACAACCCCATTCACATGGGTGCCATGTTTTCTCAAAATGACGTCAATTCAGCCTCCAACTGGCTTACCCCTGTTTTCTGACAGCGCACGCCTGATGGCTGAAGCAGATGCATCAGGATGGGGCCTGGCCTGGCCTGGCGCTTGGACTCCTCTGTTTTTCTTCTTCAAACGGACGCAGGACCCATCCCCCGTCTCCGATCGTTCCCATGCGCCGGTACCTCTACACCACTTTTCACCGTGACGGTACCTGCTGGCTCGATCTGTCATGCTCAATGACATAGTCCGCTCATCGTGGAATCATCTCAATGATCGAATATTCTCCCGAAAGACTAGTCTCTTCAGTGGAGCCACTTCCAGAACAAGCCCAAGCCTAAGTTCACCTCACCTCCACTGCATACTAACTACTGATTGAGTAGTACCTATCAATTCGGAATTTTCATCACGCGCTGCAACGCTGTAAATAATCGTTCAGGTTTTCTGAAGCCTGGCTCTCGATTCTCTACGTCATATACCAAAAGCCTCGAGCTTTCAGCTGCATCTTTGTCGTGCCAGAATCCAAAGTCCCCATACCTCAGGGCAAGGGTTACAATCAACAACATCTCACACTGGGAGTTGTCTACCTATGCCAGCGATTCATGTTACAGCTTTTATATGCTTAGTCGTGCGTAGTGCCGCTCTCCCTTCTCAATTACTCATTTTGTTGTTGCGGTAAGGTCTCAGTATGATATGCCTCAGTGTCATCTTGACCTTCCTTGAATTCCTTGCATCCAATAACCAACTGAATGCTATTCTCCCTCGTTGGGTTTTCCAACTCATGATATCGTAAAACCACGGCCCTTGCCATTCTCTGAACCTCAGATCTTCCCTCATCGCTCCTTGACCCTGGCTTCACAATGCGAGCGTGCCCTGTCGATCCTCTCCTAATCCCATTGCCATCCACACTTTCATCTTCCATCCGATCCCATCTGAGATCTAAATTCTACCCTCCCGTAACCCAGCAGAACCAACCCTTTTGCCATCCTGCCATCCCAGATCGACCATGCCACTTCGGTCTAGATCTTTTGATCAGCATCCAGGGCCTAGTCAAACTCTCTGCAGCGCATCTTTTCCGCCCCGTGATGCGGATCCTGACACGTAGAAACAACCGAGCAAGGGAACACCCGCCCCGACTATTCCAAAGACTCGGTACCAAGTCTTTGCAGCCCAGCTAAGTACAGCGATTCGGACGCTTGTTACCGATCACCCGCCTAGACTCGGGTTCCGCTGATTCGTCTAGCTGAGCCTTTATACTACATAGTTGGCATCATCGTCTCCAACGGTTCCGGTTCAGACTACCACCGTTTTGACTAAACCTACATTTGACAGATATGTACATGCGCTGTATCTTTCTAGACGGCCATACAGTAGATGTAGTGCCATTCTGTTTGATGATTTCCGGTAAAGGTTGAGAGGTCATCTGAGTCTTGCCTACCTAGTTACGAAGTCATCCACCAGAACTTCACCTTCCAAGCCCCTTCTTCTATCTCGTCGCACTCTTCTACCCCACAAATTTCTCGTATCGATTCCTCGGTCTCTCTAGAACCCCACAGGGACACATAGGTTAAGACGCCGTGCATGCTAATGGGCAGCGAATCATTGCCTGGAAATAAAGCGTTGACCTTCAGTCTCATACAGGCCTCTTCATCCATCTGCGTTACCGATATAGACTTCCTTAATCGGGTCCGGCAACATGTTGGAAAACCCAACACACATAATAACAAGCCTATAGAGGATGCAATCACATCAAAGTCAAGAATTAGAGGGGTAGTATATGCCATGCACGTTTCATTATCAAGGGGAGGGCCTATCCATTTTCCACTTTTGTCATGATCTCGCAGGTTGAATTCATTCTTCACCACCAATCATATGTCACCAGTCTGCCCAATTCCCTCTCTTGTCTCTCGTTCCGTCGTGAGTGTCTAATCCCACGCCTCTCTGAGAATCTATCCACATAACCGTGTCTGCTTCTATCATAAACTAGTTCTGCACGATCTAATCATGGACGACAAGAGGCTCTGCGTTCCAGATGCTCTCGGCATACTCGTCAATGCAGCGGTCGCTGCTGAAAAATCCCATGCGAGAAACAGAGGTAATTGACTTCTTGATCCATTCCTCCTGGTTCTGATACGCCTCATCCACCAGCTTGTGCGTCTCGTTGTAGCTGTGGAAGTCGTCAGACACCAAGTAGTAGTCACCGTGATCACGGACAGCGGCGACCAGGGCGCTAAAGTCATGGACTGAGCCAAAGGTGCCCTTCTCGATCTCGGTAAACACTTTCTGCAAGTCTGGGTCAATTTCATGAGAGCCGTACTGGTGACTGTGTCGGAGATCTTCAACATCTTCAGCGAGGTTTCCAAACAAGAAGATGTTGTTCTCGCCAATCTCGCGAGTAATTTCAATCTATTCATGATCAGCCGTGGAATCAAATGCATGTTTCGTTTACTTACATTGGCACCATCACAAGTACCAATGATGAGACCACCATTCAGAACAAATTTCATGTTGCTGGTGCCCGATGCCCTGTG